GCCCAGGCTGGAGTGCAGTGGCACGATCTCAGCTCACTGCAACCTCTGCCTCCCAGGTTCAAGCGATTCTCCTGCCTCAGCCTCCTGAACAGCTACAATTACAGGTGCTCACCACCACGCCCAGCTAATTTTGGCTTTTTAGCAGAGACAAGGTTTCACTATGTTGGTTAGGCTGGTCTCAAACTCCTGACCTCAAGTGATCTGCTCACCTCGGCCTCCCAAAGTGCTGGGATTACAGGTGTGAGCCCCGCACTCAGCTGCTCCCTCATTTTTTTGGTTCAGGAAAGCAAAGTTCAAAGAGGAGTAGGTTTCTCTGCAGGGCGTGTGGCAGAGTTGGACTTGAACTCAGGGCGGAATCCTTAGCCATGGTGCCCTCTGCCACATGGTTCATCTTTCCTTCATCTCTACTCCCCAAGATGCCTGGCTCCAGCTGAAGATCCAGGGTTCCCAGGCCCCCCTCCTGGGGACAGGTCCTCCTTCAGCCTGACCTGAGCTCTGCCACTTCCACCGGCATGAACAGTTTGGGTCCCCGGGCCTCATTCTCTCCATCTGGAAAATGGGCACAGCATGTGCCTTTCTGCACAGTGAGAACGTGAAGGATTGATGAGGCAACATGCAAGGAGCATGAGTTTAGGGCCTGGCACCCAGGAGGCCACCCCAGTGGACCCTGCTGGGTTTCCGATTTCCCCTGTGACACCTCCTGGGGGCTGGATCCCCAGCGGGAGGAAGGATGAGGCCTGCAGTGCCTGGGTCTGGCACAATGCAGAGCATTGAGCTCATGCCAGCCTTGGCTTGGGTTTGGACAAATACAGTCATCTGGGCAGGACTCACACAAAGACCCAGGGGCCAGGGCAGGCGAGGGGCGTCAGGTTACCCCCGTGGGCTGCAGCACACAGGTGGCTTGGCGGGTGTATTTTCTTTTCCCTAAAGATTATCATTAACCCTCACCGAGGCCTTGGCAGGCGGGTTTCATTACAGGAGAAACTGAGGTATAGGGGTGTGCAGGCCTGACGGGACGCGCTGTCACTGTGATAGGAACAACATTAGCAATAATAACAGCTGTCCTTCGGGACTGGTTCCCACGGTCTAGGCCCTAGGTGAATAATAAGCCTTTTCTCGATCCTTTCTGCAGCCCGAGAGGAAAGCCCCATGTTATCCCAATTTCACAGATGGGCAAACTGAGGCTTGAAGACACTGTGCAGCCTCCAAGGGCTGTTCCCTTCATTCCTCCAACAGAGTGGGAATGAGACGGTGCAGAGTCTGGAATGTCTGGGCAGAAGGAGGAGCCGGAGCAAAGGCCTGGAGCTTGGAGGGCGCTGTCGGTGGGGGGGCGGGGGGCGGGGGCGGTGTCCCATGGCGGGGTTTCGTCTCAGCTCTGCCATGTCTTGGCTGCGTGACCTCTGGCACCCTACTGGGCCTCTTTGATCCCAGACTACCTGTAGAATGGGTGTGTGAGAAGAAAACCTTCTGGAGCGGGGTGTTGAGGAGAGAACAGTGCCTGGCACATCATAATAATCATGCTGAATAGATGTTATTTTCATTTCTAACCACTTCCTCCAGGAAGCCCATCCTGACCTCCTCCGGCTCCCGAGGTCACCTGGACTTGCCCCATCACAGACCTTGCCACAGTGTGAGAAACGGCCTCATCCACATACCAGCTTCTCACCACCACCCAGACCCTCTGATTGGGACTCCCTTGAGGGCTGTGTCCCCAGAGCCCAGAAAGGGTCCAGCACAGAGCAGCTGAGGGGGTAGGTGCTGGTGAACAGTGCCACTGAGCCCCTGCTACTCACCAAGCCCTTCACACACGGGTCCTTCATTTAGTGTCTTTCTTCTCCTAGATAGAACCTTGGCTTTGCCAAGACCAGCATAGTTGCTGCTCAAGAAATATGTGAGGAAATTGTTGAGATGAACCAGCACTCAGGGGAAGGGAGGCTTTCTGAGGACGGGGCCTTAGCAGGTGGAGCTCCTGGGATAATGAGAAAGATGCCCGGATGCGGTGGCTCACACCTGGAATCCCAGCACTTCGGGAGGCCAAGGCAGGCAGATCACTTGAGGCCAGGAGTTCAAGACCAGCCTGGGCAACGTGATGAAACCCCGTCTCTACTAAAAATACAAAAAATTAGCTGGGCATGGTGGTGCGAGCCTGTAGTCCCAGCTTCTCGGGAGGCTGAGGCTGGAGGATCAATGATTGAACCCAGGAGGTGGAGGTTGTAGTGAGCTGAGATCGCGCCACTGCACTCCAGGCTGGGCAACAGAGTGAGACTCTGTCTCCAGAAAGAAAGACAACAATAATCAGTAGTCTTTACTCTGCTCCAGGCGCCAGGCTGAGTCTTCTCAGTTCCTCTCCCCAGCAGGTTAGTTCTATTATTGTTTCCACTTCACAGATGGGAAAATCAAGGCACAGGGAGGTGAGGTGGGTTACTCCAGGTCACACAGTCAGTGAGAGGAAGAGCCAGGATCAAAGCCAAGCCTGTTTGACTGAGGAGCCTGCCCTGAGACCTTAACCACACACCAAGCCCTCCCTAGAAGGAAGATGCCGCTACTGGACACATTTTGCAGGTGGAAACCAAGGCTCTGAGAGTCATAACGGCCTGCCCATGTCTGGACACAGAAACTGAGGTTGAGCAGATGCTCGAGGCGGGGTTCCTGTCTCCTAGGCCAGCACCCTGAAGGAGGGGTGGGAGACCGCCCCCCACGCCCCAAGCTGTCCCCTGCTTGTTGGAGTTTCTGGCCAATACCCTGGCCTCTGTTACCCAGCCCAGCACCCAAGACACTGCCTCTTCCGCCTGCCTGGAGTCTCGGGTCTCGGGTGCCTTCACAATCGGATTCTCTGTCTCCGCAGCTGCTTTCCATTTGAGCTCTTTGTGCTGAAAATAAAAAAAAATGAAAAGAAAACTTGGCACCGCCCCTCTGCTTTGCTTCCTGGGGAGGAAGGAGGATCCCAGCTACTTCTTTCCCTCATTCTGGGGCCCAGAGATACCCACAGCCTGCCCAAGGTCACACAGCAGGGTCGGAGCCAGGACCCTGGCCTTAGACTCCCCTTCCAGTGCTCTACCCCCTCTGGCCACTGCCTCTGCTATTCCTGGCTCTTCCTCTAGGCCCGTGAGGAGCAGATGAATTAGGATGAATGTTCCCGCACCCTACCACACGCTGGGCACTCTGCCACCTTGAGCTCACAAAACCCTCATGACAGCCCTGTGAGGTCCTGTCACCCCATTTAACCAACGAGGAAGCTGAGACTCAGAGAGGGGAAGCGCCCAAGGTCACACAGCCGGGACGTGGCAGAGCTGGGGTTCCAGCTCCTGTCCCCATTGCTGGACAGCTGCCACATCTGGCACCCAATTTAGGACCCTGTGGGGAGGCCCAAGCCCTGGGGGTGGCGGGGGTTCCTAGAGGGAAGTGGCAAGGCCAGGACCCTGGAACTGAGCCAGGTAAGAACAATGGGTCCTCAGAGACCGAGGTGGCAGGGCGGGGTGGCTGCTGAGCAGGGGCGGCAGGGCGAGGTGGCGGGCGGGGCCCAGGAGACTTCATGCTCCCGCCTCCTACTCCTGCAACCTGTTTGGGACCTGGGGACACTCCAAGCACTTCAGCTCCTCAACCTGGACAGACCCACGGCTCCAGCAGGAGGCAGGGCCAGCCCTGTGTATAACGACAAATATAGTGGGCAATAATCAGATTTCACACTTACCGAGTCCTACTACAGGCCAGGCACTGGGCCAAGGGCCCTTCCTGGGTCCTCACAACCAGCCTAGGAGGTGCAACTAGGATTAGTGGCTTTTTACAGATGCGGAAACGGAGGTCCAGGGAGGTACTTAGCACCTGCTGTGCCAGGACAAAGAGCTTTGGAAAGTGGGGCCCTCAGAGGGTGGGTACCCTGTTCCCAGAGGCAGGAAAGTTAAGGTAGACTGGACTCAGTGGGGCTCAGCGGGACACCGGGGAGAGTCAATGCTCTCCGGGGGCAAGATGAATTAGAGGGAGCCCTTTTGGGTTTTCAGAATCTGAATGTGGGGCGAGGGAAGCAGAGATGTGGGGAGCAGATGAAGCCTCCCTGGCACTGTTGGGAGGATTAAAGGACTTGATGGACACCTAGGACTTGGAAATGTGCCTGGTAGAGAGTAGGTGCTCAGGGAACACCTCCTGTTTGCAGAAACAGCAACTCACACTTAGGGAGCCTGCTGTGCATCTGAACCCCGTGCCTGGGTGTTTCTGACCCCCTTCCAGCCCTCATTCCTCCTCTCTCTATTTTCTCCCCTGTCTCAGGTTCATTCCTATTTTTCCTCTTGCCCTAATTAGGCCATCTTCTATGACTGCAACAGTAAAAATATTAATTAAATCTTATAACATGGAGTCTAACGTGGGGCCGTTCCAGCGTTCCAGGGCGGGCTCCCTGGGCTGTAAGCAGGCATCTCTTCACTTCTCTTTCTTCATGGGCCCCAGTGCCTGCTGTGGCTCAAGACATCACGTCCCACATGATCACATCCTAACCAGGAAGGGATGGACAGAAAAAGGGGCTTTCTCCTTCAGGATCTCACTTTTTTTTTTTTTTTTTTGAGAGACAGTATCGCTCTGTCACTCAAGCTGTAGTGCAATGGCATGATCTCGGCTCACTGCAACCTCCACCTCCTGGGTTCAAGCGATTCTCCTGCCTCAGCCTCCCATGTAGCTGGGATTACAGGCACACCCCACCACGCCCAGCTACTTTTTTGTATTTTTAGCAGGGATGGGGTTTCACCATGTTGACCAGGCTGGTCTCAAACTCCTAACTTCAGGTGATACGCCCACCTCAGCGTCCCCAAAGTGCTAGGATTACAGGCGTGAGCCACCACACCCGGCCAACAATTTTTCTTAGATGTCCCAGTGGATGTCCCCTGGTATCTCAATGGAATGATGGGCTCACATGTCCACATTTGAACCAGAAAGGAATTCCTGTGGCTGACTCATGCCAATTAGGGTTCAGCCTGTCTGGCTGCTCCAAAGAGATGTGGGCTCCGAAGATGATGGGGGCACGGCTGAGATGGCCACCAGCTGGAGTCTCACTGACAGCCTCCTAAGTGACACAGTGGGCCTGGGTTTGCTCGGCTTTCTCTGGCTGGTCCTCTTGGCAGTGTCTGCCCCCTGGGTAACTGCCCCCTCCTTGAGCACAGTCTTCCCCAGCCTCTTGATGACAGCTCGCTGGTCTCGCTGGTTCTCCTCCTACCTCCCCGCCCGTTCCTCCTTGGGCCTCGAAAATGGCCCCTCTTCTGCCTTCATTTGGTCCTCGCTCCATGAGCTCAGGTGTGCGGGGTCCCTCGTGCCTTTACACAGGCTCTGTCAGTCTGTCCATGGGTGTTCCAGTGGCACACCCCGCTGGCAGACATGGGTGTCTTTCCCAGATCAGAAGACAGCACTGCCACCCACCCAGTGGGCCAGGCGTCAGACCTTAGGGTTGTTCTTCTCCCCTCTAACCTCCACATTCAATCAGTAAATTCCATTGGCTCTGCCTGTGGACTTAACCAGAACTCGACAAGTCTTCCCTCCTCTGTCTGGTCATTGCTCACCCACCTGGGCAGAATCTCCGCCCTGGCCTCCCCACCCACCCCACACAGCCCTCCACACTCAGCCAGAGGGCTCCTGTTGGAACCCAAGTCAGGTCACACCATTGCCTCACTCCAAACCCTGCTCCTACCTCCCTCAGAGAGAAAGACAGTCCCTGCTTTGGCCCCAAGGACGGCCCTGAATGGCCTTCCCCCTCCCTACCTCCCCTCCCCACTCCCCTGGCCACAGTGACCTCCCTCCTCCTGCTAGAACACATGGAGCTTTGCCCCACATCTCCTGGGTGTTGTTTTTCTGGATCTTTCCATGATCGGCCCCATCCCCTCACTCGGACCTGTGTGCCTCAGAGAGGCCTCCCAGACCATCCCTGAAAGAAGCCCTGCCCACCCCTACCACACCTGCTGAAGATCAGCTTCGACAAGCGGGACTGTGTCTTATTCAGCACGGGGCCAGCACAGGGCAGTGCCCAGAACGCAGCGGCTGGCGTGCAGCAGCTGGCGCCGGGCTCCGTGGGTCCTCCCACAGATGCAGTCCGTGGGACGGTGTCTGGGTCCCAAGGTGACCCCCAGGCTGAGGTCACCACCTTTCCCCTTCCAGGATCACTGCCTGGATGATGGTGGGTGTCCCAGTGGTGGGGAGAGCAGCTCTGAGCCTCCACCGTGCCCAGAGCAATGGGCACTGGAGCCTGGAACCTTCATTCCCATATCACAGAACCTCCAGGAGTCTGGAAGGGGACAGTTGAGACGAATGGAATTTAGGAACTTTTGGTCCGTGCTCAATGTTCCCTCTGGGGACATCTTGTCTGATGGTGGTTGTTTTTGTTTTCTCTTTTCCTGAGCTGTGGTACCTATTGTTCAAACAGAGGACCCCGAGCGCTGGCCTGCCTCACTCAGGCACAAGCACCCGAGCTGTCTGGCAAGGTGGAAATCCACCACGGCCAACTTCCCCTTGGGGATTCCACAGGAAGGACGTGGCCCCTCTAACCGAGGCGGATGTATGGTCTCTCCATAGATTCCGCCTGCATAATCTCACGGCCGCTTCAGCTGGGTCTCACGGGGCCACCCTGTGGCCTGTGTTCAGGGACCACATTGTAGCAACAGGGCTGCGTTAAAGCTGGAATCGCACCCAGCAGACTCGGCCTGGGGGGATCCACCAGCCCACATCTCGCCCACCCCGACACAGCCACCTGGCGATTGGCTCTTCTCTCTCCAAAGCCGTATTTGTTCTTTTTGCTGAGTATGTGCAGCTGAATTCTCGTTGGTTAAAGCGCCTGCGCGGTGGCTGCCCTGAATACAAAAAAGATCAAGGGGGTGCTGTCCTGGTAGGTATAAGGAGTGGGGGCCCCCCACCTCTACCACTTCTCCAGGTGACCCGAGGGCCAGTCCTTAGAATACCACCAGGCTCAGTGGAACCCAGTTTGAAAGCCCATGATCAAGGTCCATTCCTTTGGTCTCCATTCGGGAAAGTGAGGGAGAGATGAGGGAGGGGGCATTTTGAGGACCAGAAATGGCGTGGCAGAAACAGCCAGCCTGGAGGAGGGGGTCTGGGCAGGGCAGGACCCAAAGGCTGGAGCAGGAGGTGTCTGGCGAGGCTGTCTGGGGGACGTGACTTCCCTGTCCCCTTCGTTCATTCTTCATCATTCATTCATCCATTCTACACATATTATGAAGCACCCACTGAGCTGGGGGTGACAATGATCCCTGCCTACAAGAAGCTCCTAGGCCGGTGGGGGACATGAACACCCTTCAAAATGTCAATTTGTGACTGCGACAAGTACAAGGTGATTTGTGGGTCAGTAAAGGGGGAAGGAGGTTGGTGTGGTTAGGGTGTTCGGGAAAACTTCCTAGAAGCTGAGCTGGGAACTGAAGGGTGAGCAGAGGCCAAGTACATGAGAAAGGGAGGAACGAATATTCCAGCAAGTGGACGCAGCACGTGCAAGGGACCTGCTGTGAAATGGAGCAGAGTCGGAGGGGCTAACAGGCTCACAGTTCCACGTGGCGGAAGCTTTGCAGTGAGGGGCAGGTGTGGAGAGGAGGGCGAGGTAGGGGCTGGACAGACTCCCAGTGAGAGCAGCCCAGTCTCTATGCCAAAGGCAGAGGGGTTCTTGGGAGGGTCTGAGTCAGCAGCACCAGCTTCTTCCTGAATGCTCCAGGGCCTGGGGCCAGGGGTGGGCATCTGGATTTGATCGTCAGTGGGATAGGAGACAGGGTCACCTGGCACTTCTGCCCATCTCTGCCTTCCTGGTTTGGGTATAACAATCACTGTCTCTTTGTCTTTCATGATTTATCTCATTGAACCCCCACCCACAGACCAACCCCTGCAGGTGCCAGGGGTTGAACCCACTTGTCAGATGGGGAAACTGAGTCTGTGATATGTTCCCATGGCCCCACCCGCTTCCTTCTGCCCAGAGAAAAGAGGAACAGGGAACTGATGCCCATGGTCAGCTGGGAAGAGTCTGGGCAGGGAATGGGGAGGGTGGGGCCCTCGGGGGCCTGTGTTCGGGATGGGCAGGGGCCCTGCTTCCGTTTAACCACAGCCCTGTGACATGCCCCAAAAGGGAAGCAGCAGCCGCCTGTCCTCACCCCTCTGTGCCCTAGGGAGGGGGCTGGGGATGCCAAGGGCTGGGGAGCAGGAGTCTGGGGAGGCCTCACCCTCCCACCCCAGGCCTCGAGTCTGGGTTCTTAGAGAACTCTGGGGTCAGCTGAACCCAGCTGGTGACCTCCATCAAGTCCCATGAAGACCTTGGCTTCCTGTTCTGTAAATGGAGGATCAGTCTCTCTTGCGGAATGTTCTCAGATTAGCACACAGTGGGTCCTCACTGAATGGCTAGCCAGCAGTTGTTGGTTGAATAAGCTAAAGGTGTTTTTCTCCTTGAAAGGAGTAGCCAATTAGATAAGGAACCCGTGTATATGACATTCCACAAATATTTATTGAGCACCTATTATATTTCAGGCATTGTCCTGGTACTATGGAGCAATGAACAAACAAGACAAAAATGCCCCCATCACCTTTGGAGCCCACATCTCTTCGGAGCTGCCCTACATTTCCTGGTTTGTGGCAGACATTACTAATTGATCATCTTTCCTACTGAAACCAGAATTCTCTCCAACTCCGTCGTGCACCACTCAGGGACTGACACATGGTGGGGAGCGGCCTGTCATCCCCAGGGAGGGGTGGCACGTGGGAACTCAGAAGGTCTCCGTGAGAATCTTCTAGCTGATTTAAGCAGCTTCCTCTCAGTCTCTTTCAACAAATATTTACTGAACACCTACTGTGTGTCCAGTACTTTGCCAGGCACTGGGGATACAGCAGTGACCAGGGTGGACATTGTCCTTACCCTTGTGGAGCTGATGTTCTGGTGAGAAAGACAAACAAAGAAGCAGACACTTCCAGACATGGATATGTACTACAAACACATGCCAGAGGCGTGGAGCGGAGGGTGACAGGGGAGGAATCTGGGGTAGCTCGGGGTTGGGGGTTCTGGAGGGAGGGCATTCACTGAGACCTCACTGAGATGCAGCCACCAAAAGAAAATATGGGGGAAGTTGTCACAGGCAACACAGCAAGGGCATAGGCCCAGAGTGGGGAATGAGGTTGATAGATTTAAGGGACAGGAAGGAACTAGTGTTGCTGGCGGGATATGAGTTTTGGGGAGAGAAGCAGGAGAGGGTGGTGGAGACCAGGCTGGGGCCATACATCCAGGGCTCGGGGCCAGGGGTGAGCTCTGGATCACATCTCCAATGGGATGGGCAGTCACTGGAGGGTCAAAGCAGGGGAGAGACTCGGGCAGGATCCCATTTCAGATCCCTCTGGCTGTGTGAAGCAGGGACACCCGGCCGGAGATGGCCGCAGATGTCCAGGCAAGTGAGGATGGCAACTTGGACGGGGGTGATGCCAGCGAATGTGGGGAGAGATGGCCAGGCCTGGCGGGAGGCCCAGGGCTCTGCATTCCGTTTCATTTTTCCTTTTACACAATCCCCACCCCCCCACCCCGGGCACTCTGGGTTACTGGACTTTCCCTGGCACTGCTGGTGGGGCCCACAACCTGCTGGCGATCTGGCCTCTCCGGGTCCCAGCTGGTTCCCTGCCCTGCCCTGGACCCTTCCTCTCCAGGGACAGACCCAGCTCCAGTTCCTCTGTCGCTGTTTCCCAGCACCTCCTGCCCCAGCTCTGCCTGGGCCCTGCTGACAGCACCGCACCCCCCACTCCAGCCCTGCTGGCTGCCTGGGAGCCAGCAGATGCTTCCTCTGAGCTGCTTTTTCCAGATCAAGTTTGCCTCCAAGGAAGTGAGCCTGAGACTCCCAGCCAGTTGGGGGAGACAAGTTCGAGGGAAGTACCCCAAGGTAGCTTGCCAGAGGGCAGCCTCGCTCTTGGGCAGATTTTTCCTCTGGTCCAGTTTGTTGCTGGATGGAGCAGGCAGATCTACCTTCCCCACTGACTCAGGCCTTGGGTGCTCTGATGGAGACTGTGGCTGGAGAGCTGTATTGAGCAGGGCTCTGAGGCTGCATCTACGATACTAGGAAGGAGACTCATCATTGATTAGTAATGCCTGCTGTGGACCCAGGATGGAGGATAGGGGCCACTCTGGCCTCACCTGTGTGTCTGCAGCACCCAGTAGGTCCTCAGGTCTGCGCTCCCCTGTTGTGCCTCTAAATCTTCAAGTATAACAAATGCTGTTTGAAAATATCATATGGTGGTGGGCCGAGGTGGGAGGATCGCTTGAGGCCAGGAGTTCCAGACCAGCCTGGGCAACATAGTGAGAACCCATCTCTAGAAAAAAAAAAATTACCTGAGTGTAGTGGTGCACGCCTCTAGTCCCAGTTACTTGAGAGGCTGAGGTGGGAGAATTGCTTCGGCCCAGGAGATTGAGGCTGAAGTGGGCTATGATTGTGTCACTCCACTCCAACCTGGGCAACAGGGCAAGATCCCCCATCTCTCCAAAAAAAAAAAAAAAAAAAAGGAGAAAAAGGGAAAATACCCCATGGCCTTGGTTTCCTTATCTGTGAAATGGTGATGATGATGACAAGCCCCCAAAGGGCTTCCCCACACCCTGGCAGTGACTGACACAGAGGCCTTGAGAGCTGCGTGTTCCAGAGTCATGCAGCTGGTACATGGCTGAGCTGGTGGGGTTTGAACCCTGGGCCCCTGAGTCAGGGAGATCAAGCGGAACAGTTGGGCCGGGGAGGGGAAGGTGCTGCCCAGAGCTCCCAGTGACCTTGGACCCCACTTCTCCTTTCTGCCCAGTGTACTCGGCACACAGGAAGCCTGGCGGGGCCTCCCTTGCCCATCCTGTCTGCAGCCGGGTGGACACGGGGTCCCGGCGTCACCCACCGCCACCCAGGCCTCCCCCTTCCTGTGTTGTGCAAGACGAAGTGTCCCCTGTGTGGAATGGGCAGGCGGCTCTGGCGATGGGTGGACGGGTGAATGGGGCCGTCTCAGGCGGGGTCACTGCCCGCGGTTACCGCTAGCAGGCCTGGCCTAGGCCTCCGCCCCTTCCTCCTCCTCCTCCTCCTCCTCCTCCTCCTCTGTTTCCCCAAAGTTCAGGCAGCCTTAAGCAAGAGGCTGTGGGACCCAGGAAACTGGGGAGGCTGTCCAGCCACCATCTTGTCCCCACTAAGCAGGCCTAGGCTTGGGCGGTCATGGAGAGGTCCTAAACAACAACAAAACTATAATAATAATAATGAGAATAATAATGAGAATAGCTATTATAGTGGAGTGGCTTCTACGTGCCAGGCATGCTCTCATTTAACCACAAATACATAAAAAGCACCTCCTGTGTGCCACATGTGATTCTCAGACCTTTACTTCATGTCCCATCGAATCCCCACCAACCCTTGTGAAACAGTTTTGTTTTTTTTTTAATGATTCCTTTCTTCAGAGTAGGAAACTGAGACTCTGAGAGATGAAGCTACTTGCCAACGCCACGCAGCTCAGCCACATCCCACTGAACATCATCCTGTTCCCTGGGGTGAGTGCTGTTCTGGAAGTTGGGGGCTCAGAAGCTGTTGGTGCCCACCTGGGAGGTCGCCCTCGCAGCTGCTATTCGGAATCTCTTGCCCAAGGGCTTGGGCAAGAGTGTGGGAAATAAGTGAGAGGCTCTTGCCAGTAGTGGTGGGGTCTGGTTGTACCCCCACCCAACTTCCTTGCTTCTGGCTCAGGGGACAGTGGGAAGGTACTTTCTGTGAGTTCTCCCAGAGGTCCCTGGGGGTTGGGCTCCTGTTGCCCAATGAGGAGACCTGCTCATCTACCTTCCTTGTGTCGCTTCCTCACTCCCTCCTAGTGTTTCTAGAATCACCTCCCAAATATCCCGCTTGCACCCAAACCCTTGTCTTGGCTTCGCTTCTGGGAGCCGACCTCAGCCAGCTGCTATAATGCTCAAGGCTTGAGAGCTTTGGAATCAGGTGGACCTGAGTGTGAATCCCAGCCCTGCCACTTAACCTGAGTGTGAACTTGGGAGCCTGCCCCACCTCTCGGAACCTCAGTTCCTCTGTCTATGAAAAGGGAACTTACGTGCAGAAAACCAAGTGACTATGAGGGGGATGGGGCAGTGTGAGATGACAGGACCAGAGCACGTTCCTGGCTGCAGAGCCCACAAGCCACGCTGTGAGAGCTTTTGGGGTGGTATGGGGACAAGGGCGCAGAGGAAGAACCAGTCGCGAGTCCTCAGCCCTGTTTGACTGATGGGGGACGGGGGTGAGTGGGAAAGAGGTACAGCGTTGTTCCACCTTCCTCACCCATCACCCCTGAGATTCCAAATGCACATTGGGACCAACCCAGGGAGCCCAGCGGATGTTCAGGGTAGGGCAAAGAACAGGTGCCAAGTTTGCTCCCTGGGGGGGTGAGACTGGGTGGCCGGACGAGCTGCATCGGTAGGACTTTCACCAGGTAGACAGCAGGCACCTCGTCCCCGCAGATCACAGCTTCCAGGGCCACCTGTCCACAGAATCCCTTCACTGATCTGTGCTCAAGGCTGGGGTGTGGGGAACTGGGTGTCCTTCTTTTACCCTGGGTAGGGCCTCATGCTCAAAGGCAGCTCTGTCTACCCCCACCACAAACCTGCGGTTTCCCTGCTAGAGCGATGGCAATCCCAGCCACCTGGCTGCCCAGGCCCCCAACCGGGATTCTCTCTCTTGTTCCCATGGGCAGCCCATCAGCAAACTCATCCACATGTCCAAGAGTCCACCTCACTACCCTGCCCTGCCCTGCCCTGGTCCAGCTGGGATGGATGTTTGCAGTGATCTCCTCATTAGTCTCCCTGCCTCCTCTCTCGACTTCCTAAGCCAGAGGAATTCTGTAAGAGCTCAAATTAGATCCTATCCCTTTTCTGCTCAGAGCCCTCCACGGCTCCCAACTCACTCAGACCAGAAGCCCACAGGGCCCGCAGGATCTACTCCCCAGCCCCGCCTGACCTCACTGCCCCTCTCTTCGCTGCTCATCCACAGCCACGGTGGCCTCATCTCTGTGCCATAAACTCGCCAATTATCCTGCTGCTGCCTCAGGGACTTTGCACCCACTCTTCCCTCTGGAACAGAGGACATTCTCGCCAACTCTGCCCATGGTGGATCCTTGTGTAGGGTCAGGCCTCTGCTCCAAAGTCACCCCTGGGGACGCTTTCTCTGACCAGCCCCTCATTCCTATGGCCTCATGCTGTTTTTATTTCTTCCTAGGACTTAGCACGTATCCTAGAAATTAACCTGCTGGTTGATCCTGTTTCTTGTCTGTCTCTTTCCAGTGGAATGTCACCATCGCCCAGGTGGGGATTTTTGTGTGTTTTGTTCACTGCTGTACACCCAGCCCCCAGCACAGCGCCTGTCCAGGGCAAGTGCCCAGTGAACACTCGGGAACCAGAGCATGCATGCATGGATAAATATTTCTTTGGCAGATGAAGGGGCTGAGGCTCGGAGGAGGCCCTGGGGGTCTCAGACTCACAGCCCAGTGCTCTTTCTGCTGACACACCCTGGTCTCTGGAGCAGTTTGTTGCCTGTTCAACAACAAAGAGGGCGTGCCTGGTTAGGGGTCCTGCGTGCGAATCGCAGTCCCTGTGTGTCTTGGCTGGAGGTCACCACCCTCTCTGCTCCAGGGCCTGTAATTACCACTTACCCTGGTCAGTGGGTCCGAGAGATTCCCCATGTAGTCAGGGCTGTGGCCAGGGTGCTCACCTGGCCCCCGGCAGGTCCCATGGGCACTGTCTGGTCAGGCTTCGTGGCTGACATTCCAGGTACATTTCTAGCCCTGGGCTGCCACGGGCAAAGGGTGGGGAGAGGGTCGTGGGCTTCAGGCTGGACAAACCAGTCAGCCTTCCCAGCTGGGCCACCTCACCACCCACTTCCTGTGGGGCTCCTTGAGGCCTGGAGGGTGGAGGGGGCCTCTGTTCAACCCTCACCCGTGCCCTCTTTCCTTCTCTCCCTCGGCAGGTCCTCACAGCACCTCCTGCAAACAGACCTCCGACCCAAGCCCTTCCTTCTGCCTCCACTGCCACCATTGCTGCTCATCTCTGCTGGCACAGAAGTCTCGTCCCTGGTCCTCCAGAAATCCCCTCTCCATATTCAGCGAGAGGGAGCTGTTAAAACTGCGGGCCAGCCCACATCAGTCCCCGGCAAAGTCCTCTCTAAGGGATCCCGTTGCTTGGAGAATAAACCCTCGGATTCCTTCCTTGGCTCTCGGGGCCTCCTCTCTGACCTCCCTCTGTCTCCTCTCCCAGCCTTCCTCCTCACTTACCCTCCAGCCACGCTGGCTTCCTCTTTGCTCCTGAAACAGCCTGAGGCCCACACTGCCGCGGGCCCTTTGCACTGGCTGTTCCCTCTACCTGGAACACTTCTCCCAGGCTTCCACAGGGCTCCCTCCCGCAATTCCTTCGGGTGCCCACCTGGGAAGCCTTTCCTGACCGCCCCCCACTTCCTTCTGAGCACGGTCGGGTCTTTCTACCTGGTATATGAGGGCAGGGATTTTTGTCTGCTGTGTTCTCTGTGTGCCCCAGTGCCATCACAGTGTCTGGCAGATGGTAAGTGCTCGACACACATTGGCTGACTGCCTGAATGAACAACTCTATGGGCTGATGGCAGTTAAGGACACTGAGGTCCTCTGGGGTAGGTGACCAGCCCAAGGCCACACAGCTGGTTTGAGATTAGGCCAGGAGAGGAGCCCGGGTTGGTCACATCCTGGAGCTGGTGTCTTGGAAACTGCATCAGGAGAATAACAAAGATGAGACTCAGGCTCTAACAAGCGGATACCAGCGACTCTTGCCCCGCCAGCCCCAGCCCTGCGGCCTTGGGCCCTTCCAGGAGTCATGGTCTGCCTGCCTGGGGCATTCCAGGCTTCAGCCCAGGTCCTGCGCTTTCTATTTTGAGCCTCTTAGTCCTGAGGACTGTGTGTTCCCAGCAGGCGGCACGGGCCAGAGGCTGAGCCTGGGTGTGGCTGTCACCCTATCTGGGGCCAGGGACCCAGATTCCCGGGCCCTTAACCTGTTGGCTGCTGAGGGCTCTGGCATAAGCCCTGTTCCCTGCTTGATTGTCTCCCCTTCAAGCCCCTGCGCTGGTGTCTTCCAGGCATGGTATCAGCCCATCTCACCTTGGATTATATCCCTGTTTGGCCCCATTTGAATCCTGGCTCTGCCCCTTTCCAGCAATGTGACCTTGGGCAAGTCACTTCATCTCTCTGGGTCTCAGTTTCTTCATCTGGGAAATGGGGACAATAAGAGTACCTGTCTCTGGCCATGTGTGGTGACTCACGCCTGTCATTCCAGCGCTTTGGGAAGCCGAGGCGAGAGAATTGCTTGAGACCAAGAGTTTGAGATCAGCCTGGGCAACATAGTGAGACCCCTGTCTCTACAAAATTTTAAAAAGTTAGCTGGGCATGGTGGTGTGCGCCTGTAGTCCCAGCTATTCTGGAGGCTGAGGCGGGAGGATTGCTTGAGCCCAGGAGTTTGAGGCTGCAGTGAGCTATGATTACGCCCCTGCACATTAGCCTGGGTGATAGAATGAGGCCCCATCTCTAAAAATAACAATACTAATAATAAATAAAAATGAAAACAAGTACCTGTCTTCTGGGGTTGCTGAGGAGATTCAATGTGATGAAATTGATGAGAGTGCCCTGCACGGACCTGGAAACTCAGAAATCATCAATAATGAGTTCCCCCACCATCAGCAGCTGGTTTAAATATAAAAACTGTCATGGCCTCTGGAGAAACAACAAGAATTTGAAAGAGCTTCCCTGCACTGGCCACCCTACACCCTACACCCTTACTTCCTCCCCTCAACTTGCCTGGGTTTATCGACCCCCACTACCCCACTGGTTGCCTTCTCTCCACCTGGCACATTTCGTATGAATTTGCTTGTTGGTTTCTTGCCTATCTCCCCAGTAGAACATTGGCTCCATCAGGACAGGAACTTTTGTCTACCTCATGCACCTAGTGCAATGCCTGGCACACAGTCAGTGCTCAATAAATGTTTGTTAAAAGAACCAATAAATGAATAGTGATCTGTCTGGGGAGAGGAGCCCTGAGCTCACCTCCCTCCCCAAGCCCAGGGCTCTTGGGTGCTTGTTGGTGTCAGGCCCAGGCCTCCTCTCATCAAGCAGCCAGTAAAACTGCCCTGGTTGGTGTTCTCATTTCACAGATGGAGAGACTGAGCCCAGAGAGGGAGAGTCGCCTGTCTGATGTCACACAGAGGTCGGCACCTGGGCTGGAATTCCAGCCCAGGCTCATGTGGGGTGGGGGGCAGTGGATCAATCTTTTCCTGGAGGGAGTCAATGGTGATGGTAGGAATCGGTCAGGGGTGCTGGCAAGAAGGTTCCAAGGCCCCCAGGAGGGAGGGAGGCATGGGAGATGAGTTAGTCCCTCTTGAGTTCCATCTCTTTCTGTGTCTTTCTGTTTCTGCCTCTTTCAGTCTCCTTGTATTTCTCGGTCCCTGTCTTCGTCTCTCTTTCTCTCTTCCTCGTGTATCTGACCCACTGCACAGGAGGGGATGCAGGCACAGACCCCTGGCTTGGGGGCTGGAGTTGGGGCCAAAGAGGAGATTGACATCTGGGGTTGAGCTGGGACTCTGAAGCCAGACCCTGCAGCCAGGGCAGCATGCCAGTCTTGGCTCCACACTCCAGGGATAGCCTTGGAATGTCAGGTAGTTCAGAGAACCCAAGGCCTGGTCCTGGAGACCTGGGTTCCAATCCCAGCTTTGCCACATTCCAGCCTCGTGGCCTTGGGCCCTTAGCCTTTGTTCCTGTAAAATGGGACCATTGAGAGCCCGATCTTAGCGTTTTATGAGGAGGAACGATGTGAGGGCTGTGCTGGGCTTCCTGAAGCCCTGTGTGGCCTGGAAAACACTCAATAAATAACTCAGTATAATGATTTCTTCTAGCAGATGGAGAAAGCGAGAGTTAAAGAGGCCCAATCATTTCACTCACTCATTCCTCAAACGTTATTAAGCACCTGCTATGCACCAGGTGCTTTGTTTTGTATACATTAACTCAGGGTTCAGCAAACGACAGCCTCCAGGCCAAATCCAGTTCACGGCCTGTTTTTATAAATAAAGTTTTATTGGCACACAGCATGCCCATTCATTTACGTATTGTCCACAGCTGCCTTTACTCGACAACTGCAATGTTGAGTAGTTGTGAGAGAGACCATAACACCCAGAAAGCTGAACATATGAACCCTCTGGACATTTACAGTAAAGTTTGCTAATCCCTGGATTAACCCATTACAACCCTGGAGGAAGGACGTGTCATAAGCTCAATTTTACGGATTAGGAACTGAGGTCCCAGTGCAGCGTCTGTCACAAGGTTGGGTCTCCATACATAATATCTGGGTCTTATTCCTCCTCTTCTGGCCCATGGGAAGCTGCCAACTCCTGTTCCCTTTCCCTATCCTGCATGGATCATAAGTGGATAATTTGAACCCTGCAGAGGAAAGAATGCTGTTTGAAGGTCAGGTCAACGGAAAGAGTCCTATTTTCAGGTCAATTTGGACCTTGCCAAAGCCTCTGCCTTCTGGTGACCTTGGATGAGAGGTCTGCCACTAGTAGGAGCTTCACGAACAGTTGCTGAACAAGTGATGTGCGTCACGCCCTCGCTGTGAGCTTCAGCTCGCTTGAAGGCTTCCTCCAGGTAATTGCAGGAGACCCTACGGCTGGCCGCACACCACCATTGGGGTGAAAGATGGCCTCGAGCCATCAGTGGGAGAACACCCTGGGCATGGAGATGCTTTCTAGAGCTCCACGGAAGTGGGGGAGGGGATCTCACTGCCCCCCAAGCCTGCCCTGGAGTCTTTGTCCCTTCCTCCCTCATGCCGGAGGCCTGCAGGTACCTGGCTTGAGATGTTGCCTGGCCCTCAAAACACCCAGGTTCCCCCCAAGCTCCTACCCAGCCTCTCCGCTGCTGGCCTTGGGAAGCTCCCAGTTTGCCCTCAGCACTTTTCTGGAGGCCCCAGAATCACCAAGAGGTAATCCTGCCTGCTGCCTGGAGGAGGTGATGTGGGAGACTCATGAACCTGGGGTGTCCCCCAGCCAGGGGACGGGCGTGGTGATCAGGGGCTGCTGAGCACTGCAGTGCCTTCCCTGATGGCCTTGCGTGCCGCCCCATCCCTCCCTTAGAGCAGCCTTCCCATACTGCTGGGTGACACTTGGGTAAGTCATCTCACCTCTTGGCTCTGTAAAACGGGACTGGGGCGGTCCCCACCCCTTCAGGGTGTCATGAAAATGAAAGGCATCAAGTGGGCAGAGCACTTGGCATGGCCCTGAACCACGGTGGGCATTTGTCACACACGCTCATGGACTTATTGCTGGGTCCCTAGGACACCCTGGAGCTCCTCCCCAAGTCGGGCCTGCTGCTAGCGTGAGAAGGAAGAAGGGGGACATAGACACCAAAGATACCGTTCTCATCCCCATCTAAACGCTGGTGACTTCCAAGGGTGTCTCCCCAAGGCCTCCCCTGAGCCTAGACTCAGGTCTCCACTCACCTGTCTCTGTCACTGCTGGGATGACCAGGAGGAGCCTCAAACCCGGGTCGGCCAGGACTCCATTCCTGATCTACCCCCTGAAACCAGTCCTGCCTCCGCTGATGGCTCCTCCATCCTACAGGTGGCCCCTCAAACCTGGGAGTCTCCCCTGCCTTCTCCTCACTCGCTCCCACATCTGATCGCTCATCACATCCTGTCAACTCCACCTTCAAGGTGGACCCAGAGTCTGCTCTCGTCTCCCCACCTCCATGGCCCCCCGCTTCGGCCACGGCCACCAGCACCACTGCCTGGGACTGGTGCAGTCACCTCCTCCTGCCTTCCTTTTCTCCCTCAGCCCCTCACAGTCCGTTCTCCTCACATGACCAGAGGGACCTGTCAGATGGGACCCATACCTTCCCGCACAGACCCTCCCAGGGATCCCAGCTCTCTGAGCGAAAGCTCCCTGTGGCCTGTGAGGCCGGGTGTGACCCTGGCCCCCAGCAAACCCTCCACCTGTCTGATGACCTCGCTGCTTCTCTCCCTCGCTTACTCCCTTCCAGCCCTGGCTGGCTTCCTGCTGTTCTTCAAGAAGCCCTGCGTCTTTCCACCTCAAGGTCTTTGCAGGTCCCTGGAGCCCTCATCCACCGTGGATGTCCACGACTCCCTCACCTCCTTCAGGTCTGAGCTCGGATGCCACCCTCGACAGCCACCTCCTCTGACCCTTTCCCTGGATTAAGCAGCCTCTGCCTGCTCAACAATCTCTCTCACTAAGCGCCTGACCATCCCGTATTCTTTTTTCATGGAGGGAGGGGAAAGGCACTCCCAGGAGAGTGGACAGCGTGGGCCAGGGCCTGGACGTGTGGGCAGCGAGAGGGTGGGTGAGGGGAGAGTGGTGGAGCCTGGGTGGCTGAGTTTCAGGGCGAGGCATTCCCCAGGAGTGAGCAGGCCAGGGTCACCCTGACTCCTTCAGCCACCGGTTGTATGACCTCAGGGAGGTCTCTCTGGACCCAAGAACCTGCAACTGCTATTGGAGACCCCCTAAGTGGACCCATCATCTGACAGAGGGGGAAACTGAGTCTGCAAAGCTGCTGCTATGACCTGGTGAAAGGGTCAGCCCAGGGATAGGGACAAACCAGAGGTTTCTAGCAGTCACTTGCACCTCAGTGTGAATGAGCTCCCGGATTCTTGGCTGTCTTGTAGTCCCTAGACCCCATGGGACTTGGGAGGCAGAGTGAGGGAAGGGCTGAGCCTGGGGTGGGATGAGGGCTGGGTCAGGTCCTGGCCCAGCCTCTGTCCCGGCCCCTGGCTCCCTGCAGGGCTCTGGATTGCACAATCATACCACCCACGGCTGTGACCAAGGCAGGTGACACATGCTTTCTGGGAGCCACCCTTGGGCCGTGCAGCCTCGTCACACATACAGGGCCACCGTTGGCATGGATGCACCCCGGCACAGCCTGACTGTGTGAGGAGTGACTGCTCCTCACACTGCCACTTCCGGGCTGTGTGACTCTGGGCAAGTCACTTCCCCTCTCTGAGCCTCTTTTCCCTCTTCTGTAAGAGGAGGTAATAACAGTTCCTGCTCCCCTGGCTGTTGGAGGGATTGACTCTGTCCCCGCCATACTGGCCCTCTGGCTGGTCCTCAAATGCACCTGGCATGCCCCACCCAGGGCCTCCGCCTGTGCCCTTCCCTTTGCTTGGGCCAGCCCTTGCACCTCCTTTAGATCTCTGCTCAAACGTCGCAGCTCATGAGGCCCTTCCTGCCCCTGATACTCCCTCCTTACTGAATTCCTCCCCGCATCTCTCAGTGCTACCTGACCCATCATGGTTCCCACTTGTTCTGTCGACCCGCTCCAGGGTGGCAGCTCCATCTTTGTCTCTCGTGATCATCATTGTGTCCCCAGATCCCAACAAAGCACCGTGTACAAGTGCTCAGTCCACAGTTGCAGAATGAATGAATGAATGAATGAATGAATGAAAAGTGCTTAGCACCATGCCTGGCCCTTAGTAAGCACCTGAAACCCAATGCCGTGTGGTGGTGTTAGCTTTGGCTTCCAATTTCTAGCCCCATCAAATCCCACCCTCATCAGCCCGGCGCCCCTGCTTTCTCTGCC